CCCCAAAACCCCAAAACCCCAAAACCCCAAAACCCCAAAACCCCAATTTTTGATTTATAATTGAGTTATATAATATGAGAGGGTCTACCACGCATATTCAGGTTCTAAGTAAGTTTTGTGTCAAGGGACTTATCGATACTGAAACTAGTAATTTCTGTCTTTCTTTTCTCCACATTTTCACTAGCTCAGCTTTCTCTAGAGATGGGTCAGAGCCCCACTACGAAGGGCTTGATCTCTAAAGCAGTCAAGATGGTCAAGAGTAGCCAATCAGGCTTAGTCAAAGCAATCAGACTCAAAGATCTGGACTCAGATTCTGTAATTGACCTGAGAGAAAAGCAGAGAGTTGACCGCATTTAGGTAAATTTTTGAAGATCAGAGAAGGAAATGAGGAGAAAGCCACCGAGAAGGTTCTATTAAGAGCTTTAGGTTATAGTTAAGCACTAGAGTGACAAGGCAGGCTGATACTCAAGAAGGATCTGCTTTATAGCGATATGGTTTTATACTGGCCTAGTTAGTTCATAGTAAATTCAATGAAATGTCTCCTAAGAAGATTATAACTCCTGGCTATAATATTACCAGAGTCTTCTCTTGTTTAAGGATTCTTCTATCAAACTTTTCTTCAAATTTGTCTCTCTGTATGGTTAGATTAGTCTCTCTTTGATCTGTAATTGTTGACGCTGATAGGTAGAGGTTACTACTACCCAGAACATTTAGACTTAGTTGAATATTGGACCGCAGTCGGATTCCTTGAGCATGTTGGCTAGGGCTTCTTTCCCTTTGACAACTATTAAATATATTAAAAAATCAGTGAATAACGCCATTTCTGGATTTTTAAATTTTAGAAAGAGAATTTGATTACTAAAGCTTTCGATTGAAGGGTTTTAGTGCTCACATGAAAGTTCTCACACATTTTTGGGAGGTTTCGGCTTAATTTCATATCTTTTAGAGAGAAATACGGAGTGTTCATGGTCAATAAAAGTCAGCAAAAGTTGCTAAAAAGTATGTCTTCTGGCCTTAAATTATCAATAAATACCTCTAAATTCCTGAAAATTCAAGTGATTATATTTTTGGTTTCAAAATTCCAGATGGTTGATAAAGGCAACTATGAGAGAGCCAGAAAGTTATGGCCCTTGAAGAAGCTCATGACTCATTTCAACCTTATTTAGCCTGCTCGAAACTTACTAGAACTTATTGGCAGTTTGTTATTATTGTGGGTCTTTCCCAGGGGTTCACTCGTAATTCATATTTTAGAAAAATAGCCAGAAAAGCTCCTACGCAAGCCTTGGTATACCCTTGCTGATCTTTAGTCAGGAGATCCTTAGATACAGAGATGCAGAAATAAGAGAATGAATCAGACACCTCAGAAGAAGGGATGGACCTTAAAACAGAGTCTTACTAACAGCATATAAGAAATAACAGTGAGGGCAGTACAAACGTAATATTGGCTCAAACCTTTAGGTGAATCAGAACTTTACTGAAATGGTCAAGCTAAGGTCCCGTAATACTTCCTGTCTGGGAAGCAGGAATAAATCCATATAATCTCCAAAGGTGAGTCATCCTCGTAATGTTTTAGCAGAGAATTCCCTTATCTTAGCTACTGAACAACTTGTGCTAAGAGGAATTAATCCTGATAGAATCATGTTTTTGGAACAATATTCAGGTAAGCCAACAAAAACTGATACTCCCAGCTAGAGCTGTCAAGAGCTTAACAGCTAGAATGATAACTTTCTACTTGCTTTTAGTCTAAGAAATAAAACTTCTTGGCCCTCTGGTTCGACAATATAAATCATATTTGGCTTTTTGATGCAAATTAGTTCCTACATAGCGTACAAAGAAATTTATTGGGTGAGATAAAGCTAGGACCAGAAATTCTTCATGTATTGACTAAGACAGTTGTCCTATGAGGAATATAAGTGTTTTAACTTGTAACAAATTGATTTAAACACTCAAAGTGATTCCAAAATCTCACCACTAATTTAGCATCTCTTAAGAAGACAGCAAAGATCAGGAAGACAATTTGGAGAATCAAGAAGCATTTATTAACAAAAGGATATGAGGCATATTTTGACTATTGTAACTTTAACAAAATTGAGCATTTGACTCTGGTTCCTAACAGGTTCGATTCTCCTCTCCCAGAGACACCGAATGTGGACATTTCTCTATCCTTATTGGACATCAGATCGGTTACAAAGACACCAAGCACTCTTAAATATAAGGAGAGATATCGGATTATTAGCCCCAATTCTGAAGATAACCAAGCCAAGCACTTGAAGGGTAACTCGAAATATCATCTTTAGCTGTGAATAACGAAATTAAGGGTATCAGCAGCTTAGCCCAGGTGAAAGAGAAACCCGAATGAATAGACCACACCTTCAACCCAATATGTAAGCAAAAGACCAATATCCAGAAGAACTTTGTGAAGACTTTGATTACTAAAGGGACTATCCAGAAGAGAAGTCGGAATCATAACAGGAAAACCCTGTCGAAGGCAAGCCCTTTTGGTTCCTCAATGGGAGCAAAGCCTCCATTGAACTATACAGTGTTACTGACTGGCAAATCCTCCTTTAATCAGACTCGGGAGTTGAATCATAGTCAGTTCAAGAAGTATAGCGATTTCAAGGAAAACCAACTTTTGGCAAAGGCAAAGTACGGTTTTTATCATCTTTAGACAGAAATATCAGCTTTCGAGGGATCGATATAACCCTTCCTCCCACAAAGGTAAGATTAGCAATACTCAAGGGTATCTTCTCTAGCTTGGCTACTATCTTTGGCTATAGTGCTGATGCAGAAAGGAATACAGACGATCAAACATAAGAAGACTATATTAAAGATATGGCCAAAATCAAAATTTTCGAATTATAGTTTCAACATGAAAGACATTAGGTATAGGCTCTAGATGACTCCTTTAGAACAACCTCTATGGACAATCTCCAAGGTGATAAAGGATCGACCAGGAAACTTAAAAACTGGAGGTCTTACTCAGAATTCAAGAGTATTGCACTTCAGAAAAATGGAAAGAACCTGGAGGGAAGTCTGCATGTCCCTCATTCAAAGATTTCAAATGTTCGCTCTGCCTTCAAAAAGTCCATGGCAAAGTCTATCTTTTCATGTAAGTTGCTCATGTTGTCTAAATCGTTGTAGCCAAGAAGAATATTTTGGGAGGAAGGCGAGGAGTTGTCCAGAAATAACCCCAGTCTCACATAATTCGTTGTAAAAATAGCCTATTTCGATTCAATCTGGGCAGCCTCTAAAGGGGTTTTGGGGTTTTGGGGTTTTGGGGTTTTGGGG